ATACTTTTAAAAGTATAACTATATTTGAATTTCCATTGAGGATTTGGGCTTTCTTGGTTAAAAGATTAGAAAATGTGGTTAATACCCCGGATACTTCCTTGGAAAGGATTAATTTAGGTTCGCCAGATTTAATTTCTGGATTAATTTAGCACATGTATGCAAAAACGCATTTGTGGGTCACAAGCTATCATTCATCCAAGGTGTGTAGCAGGTATTTAATGGTCATAGGTTCACATTCTGCGCTGAAATAAAATAAAATACAGAGATAATAAGTGAAAAGTGTTTTTTACATAATCTTTTACCATCCGAAAATATGCATTGCTGCGTTAAATTCCAGCAGCAGTTCTTGTCCTCTAGAGTGATCAAATTATGTTCAACACAATAGCATGTTATTCTTGTATCTCATAAGGTGGCATTGATTGGAACCCCGTCTCTACACTATTTTACCTTTGGCTACATATCAACATAGCGTACCAGTCTATAACAATTTTCCTCACACAAACGCGCAGTTGTTTTGTAATGCTCAGGATTTTCATGAATCATTTTTTGCAAGTCTCGGTTATGCATTGTTGACATTCATTTGCTGTATTATAGCCTATAACAGCACAAACTCGATAATTTTTATGCTGGAGCAATCGGTAATATGTCCGCTAACAGGTGAGACCTAAGTTCGGGTCTAACACTAATGCTTCAACTGAAGTCTACATATATTTATTTTTTGATTCATAATTTTAAGGTATCTGTTTAATGCACACAGGGAGGTCTGTGTTCATTGTGAAGCTGTGCATTGCAATGTTTATACACTGTTATCTTCACAGTTTTATGTCATTTTGGTGTTTTGTTCTTCACATAGGTTTTATAAATAATAGTGCTTTGTATAATTTTACAGGCCACCGTACATAACGATGGTCATGTACGTGTTTGTGTACATCACTTAGAAGAACTCCATCATTACTCAACTTCCAAACAACTTACATGTAGGAGATTGACTGAAACATTCTCACCACCTTTTCTGGTACGTTATAATGTGTTGTATGTATATATTGATATAAGTAGGTGTCAAAATTATAGTGAATGTCCTCACTCAAATACTCTGTGTTTTACTGTTAGACTCACTAATTTGACATCAGCAGAAGTTAGTACAACTCTGTAAAATATTTTGCTCATAACTAACGAATTTAAAAACGTTGCTACAATGTTTGCCCACCTTGCTTTTAATTTACTTTCAATATTGCTCTAATAGCAATCTACGTAGCATATTGAATTTCTGGAACTGCTAACACTTATTATATAGGTCATGCCTTCACATTTCTCATGGATTAAATACATACATGTGCTATGTATTACAGGGGTAGAAATTAACTTTTGAACAAGGGAGTCAAATGGACTCCCTGCCCTCAAAAAGACGGAGGCCACAGCAAAATGAGGGCATCCGTAGTCTGAAGTTCAAAATTAAAGATTTGCTGAAAAAATACGGTAATTCCGTGAGGCCGTGCTCTTGAACGAACTAAGTTAATAGTATATCAGAATTTCCTGCATATATGTCAAATCAGGGAGTCCGACAGTAAAATCGGGGAGTATTTGACTCTGGACTCGCGTTAATTTTGCACCCTTATATTATCATGTTTATGTTTATAATGTTTTTTTGTGCATGACACTATGCCATAAACCAGTTGTATGTGAAATTGATTTAGGAGCACCATATGGAATCCTCGCCCATTTATCACAATTGACAATACTATAAAATTATTTAAATCATATTCTGTTAGTTTATCTAACCACAAATACTACTATTTGCTATGTAGGTACATACAAAGAATATATTACTAATAACAATGTGCCATTCCTACATCAAGAAATTTTGCTTATTTCAAAAGCTTCTATTTGCTAAAACCTATCATCTCATGCATGTGACTGATGCCTACCTCACCTTAGACAGCTGACTAAATCTACTAAAACATTTAGTTTTTAAATGGACAAGTTGCAAAATAGTATGATTTTTTGCCCGATGTTAACCTGTCTAAACGAATGGCAGTATAGTCTCCATGGCAACATAACATGAGCTATTAGTGCCGAATGTTATTAGCAAGTACACTTGTATTCTAAGATATAACATACATTTTATACACACTGAGAGTATGGATTTTGACAGTGATATTTGGGGCATTGTCAGACTCACTTATTGTACACTAATTAAACACGCTACATAGATTAATAAACTAAACTAAATACATAAATTAATAAACTAAACCCGTCAATATAGCACGATATCAGATCCGGGAGTAAACACAGTTTCGGACTTGGTTCTTTCTTCTTCTTGCTTCTAATGCAGTATATATATATGGATGGCGAACATATTGTCTATTTGGATGCAATATCTTTTATTTTAATCGTTTATAAGTACTATGCTAACGTGCATAGAACTGCTATCACATTTAATATCTACTAATATCCTCATCATTTAGTATCCACACACGCACGCACACACACATATTATATA